TCGAAAACTTGGCCATTTGGCAGTCAATCTCCAACCCTTCCCTTTAAGGAAGAAGATATGATGATGAATAATCCATATTATGGTGGCATTTCAGAATTCCTTATATAAATTTAAAACTGATCGTTGTTTGAACTTAAAGATATGATGATCTTACCTCAAGAAGGTTGATATGGATCAATAAAGACTACAGAAATGGCTGTGCCTCGGCCTACGCCGCCGGTCTTAAGAGAAACTCCTCTTCAACCGCCGTCTGTATCCGATTCGCCACCGGCGGAATCGAATCGAATAACCCCAGACATACCATCATTGGGCCGAGCCTGCAGGCCCAGGTTCAAGCCCACTGAACCTCAAAATATTGTCGGGCTTTAGAATAGACCAGGATAGTCCAGCCCAATATAGCAGGATATAGTCCAGACCCAGACCTTTGAGCCTGCAGACCCAGGTTCAGGCCCACTTAAACTCAAGATATTGTTGGGCTTTAGAATAGACCAGGATAGTCCAGCCCAATAGAGCAGGATATAGTCCAGCCCAGACCTTTTAGCCTGCAGGCCCAGATTCAAGCCCACTAAACCTCAAGATCTTGTTGGGCTTTAGAATAGACCAGGAGAGTCCAGGCCCAGACCTTTGAGCCTGCAGGCCAGGTTCAAGCCCACTGAACCTCAAGATAGTGTTGGGCTTTAGAATAGAGCAGGAGAGTCCAGGCCCATGTTCAGGCCCACTGAACCTCAAGATATTGTTGGGCTTTGGAATAGACCAGGATAGTCCAGCCCAATAGAACAGGATATAGTCCAGGCCCAGACCTTTTAGCCTGCAGGCCCAGGTTCAAGCCCACTGAACCTCAAGGTATTTTCTTAATTTATTTAAATATAAATATTTAGTTGATTTTATTTTTTTTTTAAATGGTAAGTTTTCTTTTCTTTTTACTATTATTATTGATGCATAATTTGAGTTGAATTTTTATTTTAAAAATAAAGATGTGACTCGAAAAACAGAGGAAATTGCACTCCATTGTATTTGTCATACACATTTTTATTTTTTTTATTTTATTTGAGAAGTAAAAGTGCCATAAACTTTAAGTTCTGAAAGCGAAGATGAAGTTTGAGAAACTTTATAAGTCTTAAGGTGGTGGATAACTTTGACCTCAACCTCGTCATTAAACTCAACCAATGTTTGTTAATTCCGTTCACTTAGAATACTTTTTATTTACTGTTTGAGAGACACACTATGCACTTGTGTTCAAGTATCACGGGTCAGTGACCCGATCATAACATATACTCTAACGTTTAAGTAAGGTAAAAGTGTAACAAACTATAAGTTTAGAGGATGAATATGAAATTTGAGTTACCTTCAACGAGCATCTCTTGCGTTTCGTTGGGCCCGAGGTTTAGGTCTTTTAGCACAACCTTGTATTGGGGTTATTTAGGTCATTTAAATTTTTAGAAAAAAAAATAAAAAAATAAAAACCATTGAGTTATTTTATTTATAACGTTAAAATTTTAATATAGTTTTTTCTTTTCATTTTATTAACGTAATAATTTAAAATATATATATTGACAAAATTTTACAAACTCACATAGCTGTTTTTTACAGTAAGGTAATAAATATGGACCAGTAAAAGGGAAAATATATATAATCATTTTATTGCCATTTAAAACAAATTCCTAATACCAACAAGAAAATAATAATAATAATAATAAATATTCAAAACCAAAACAACCCAAGGTTAACTCACCCCAACCAAAAAAATTTGAATTTTGAATTTTCACTCTTTATCTTATTGAATCGAGAAAACAAATGAATACGTTACATTTTTTTAATAAATGAAAATTAAATTCAGTTTTGGCCAATTTATTTAATTTAAAAGAAATAAAATATCAATTTGTCATCTAATAAAAATTTTCAAATATTAAAATATTTGTTCTAAGTATTTATTAATCTCTTCATTACAAAGTTAGAAGCCTACAAAAATAATAACTAAATGAATTATTTGTTTTTTTTTTCTAAAAATTAGCTAAAATTAATTTATAAATTACGAATTTAAAAGTAATATTTTGTTATTTATTCAAGTTTAGATTTAGGTGGATGAAATTTAATTTTGAGGTTAACATTAGTTTAGTGACAAAAATAAAATAAAATAATACCGAAAATGGAGTATATAGCTAATATTTGACAAATTATGCTTATGCACGTAGCCTTTTATAGTAACCTAATTAACTCCGAAATACAATTTACTTTATTACCATTTAAAACAAAATTTAAATTAAAAACGATAACGTTTTGGTAAATTAAAAATAATAAAAAAAAGAAATGAAAAATACCTCAATTATAACCATTTAGAGCTTATTATTTTATGTAGGCGGTGGAAATTACAGTGAATTTAATTAGTTCACCGCTAGCAGATATTATCCATTTTAACTTGTTATTCAATGTTGTCAATCTCATAATTTTTAAAATGCGTCTACTATAGAAAGGGTCTAGCTCTATTCCGACCAGTGTCACACACCGTCCAATAACCATCTCTGATACCATTTGTAACAACTCAAGCCCACTGTTAGCAGATATTGTCCACTTTGTCTAATACGTAACGGACCAAACTAGACAATATCGGTTAGCGGTGGACTTGAGTTGTTACATTAATAGTCCGTTGTTGAAATTAGTCGTATAATAATAAATTAAAATTATGTAAACTAATGAGAGATTAGAAACATTTTATATAACTTAATAATTGATTGGAAGTCGGTAGTGCATCTCGAGCCAATGTGATTTGTGATCAAGCGTACAAACGAGACTATCAATTTCACTTAAAGAGAGCGAGGCGTTTGCTGCAATCAAATTGTGCACCAATCTTACTCTCGCTGTAATTCAGTTTGATAAGCTCGATTAGTATCATATTGACCGGTCACGTTCATTCTTTGATTTTTAGTGAACTAAAGAGGAAAGAAATATGTTGTTTACGGAAATAAGACGTTTTTCCGCAGGTTTAAGAACTTGTCACCATTAATACAATATCGATTATTCACGGTATCAGTTCGATTCTACTTTAAATCAACTCGAACATCGTAGATCATAACTCAACTGGTTAAAACATTAATACACAAAGTCGAAACATATGGCATTTTTTGAAGCAAAGGTTGTAAAATTTCACTATAAATACATGCATAGCCCTAAGAAGAAAGTCACCACAAAGCAATAGTTCTCTCTCGCATATTGCTTCTCTTTTGCTATTCTCAATCCTTTCATTTCCTTCATCATCTTGCAATGGAGAAGAATGCCAATACCAATGTCCCATCGGAGACCTCTTCCGACCAACGCCATGGTGGAGAAAGGTCTCCGACGGGGCCGACATCTCCTCCACCAACTCACAACCGCGACAATAACCCTAACCCCACAACCGAACACTCATCCTACTCCGACACGCTACGAGTACCTCCCGCTGCGGAGACTAGCCGGCGGGATGCCCTGCTCGATGTCGGAACATCGTACCAGAACATCGTAGGAAGTTCCGAGGGCGAGCCGGGGAAAAAGAGAGGACGAGGTGACGGAGAAGAGGAGGAGGAGCAGCAGCAGCCGCCGCAGCAGCAGGTGAAAGCTGCAAAGAAGAAAGGGGAGCTGACGGAGGTTCCAAAAGGGGAGCCTAGATGTGCGACTTGCAACAAAGTGTTCAAATCGTGGAAAGCACTTTTTGGGCACTTGAGGTCTCACCCGGAACGGACCTACCGTGGGGCTCTTCCGCCACCAACCGCCGCAGAGCTCGACATTCGCCGCTGTCAGCAACAGCTCGCTTCCACTTTGCTGACTGTGGCTCAGGAAGTGGCGGCGTCGCGAAGAGGGCTGGATATTGATCTCAACCAGCCCTCCACTGCTGACGACGGTGACTCGCCGGAGAAGACCGGCGGCGTGGGGTTCGATCTGAACGCCGATCCGCCGCCGGAAAGTGATGACGAGGACTGAGGACCCTGGCGGCGGGTGTATAATAATAATAATAACCAAAACTAACATCAACAAATTTTTGTGTAATTATACGAATAAATCCATCAAATTTTTTGTGCCAACGTTTCAAAATTTCTTCATTTCCGCGCCCATTGTATTTTTCTTTACAAACAACGCCAAACAGCCATTTCATCCATGCACGCCGCCACACCTCACCGGCATCGCCGCCACACCTCACCGGCAACGCCGCCTGCATTTGGAATCAAAATATAAATATTAATTTTACTTTCAAATTAAATTAATTTAATTCTACCCTTCAATTTGATTAAACACCCTCCACATAATATTGAACTAACAAAACCACTTGATTTCATTTGTATTTTTGTTGAAAAAAGAGAGAAAAATCCTTTCCAAGAAAAAGGAAAACTCACATCCAACTTCTGGGCTTCCGTAATCAATACTAGATTTCTTCGTCTTCTGACTCGAATGCTTCGTTAAAATGAAGACGAGGATCACTCTCGACTCGTAATTCTTCAACGGATATGTTTTGTGAGTGACGAGTATTAACACCGGCACTTCTCGTCTTATATAATGGCGATTCGGGTTTTTTATAAGGCAACCTAATTAATATTTATCGATGTTTGGAAGGTTAGTCTTTTTATCAAATCTAGGGCGTAAATTTGACGCTTCTATATATTAAAAAAACACAAAAACGCGTATTAATTTTTATTAGTTGGAATTTTAATTTAATAATAATTAAAAAATATCCGTCCAAAATATAATATTTTTATTATAATTTCTCTCGCATGTTTAAATATATCTAATACATTAAATATTAATTTGAGCATTTCAATTTAAATATAAATCAAATGAATAACGTTGTCAATACGACTGGTTTAGTTCATGTTGATTTTCATTTCGTCTGTTACATTTTAGTTCATTGTAAGTAAACGAGGTCTAATGTAATCGGAGATCGGAGATTAAACAATGGTTGCCAAATTTTTTCATTAGGTCTTTCAATTTCAAATATTTCTCTATCTAATCCTTGTATTTGGGGGGAATTGCAATAGACGCCCAAAACATTAGAGACTCATAATACATACAATCAAATATATTCCTACCTCGTCTTCTGCCATCCCTTCCGAAGGTAACCGATGAGCAAAGACGAACAAAAAATGTTTAGATTTCTATCCCGATCAGAAATACTTACAATTTTACACGACGTGTTAACAAACTTGGCTCGACTTGGCACCTTTGCCTTTCCTTAACTGTTGGGCGTCCCAAGCCGAAATATCATATCTCGTCCCGGACAGTTGCAAGGAAAACGATAACCAAAATCCTTTGAATGGCCTCGTTTATCGATGTCTTTTTGCTGATGAACTTTTTGCGTGTCTTTGATGAAGTTGTTTAGACTGTGAGTTGCTGATCTTAGACCCTTTCGGTTTGTCTTTCAGTTTTTCGATCTGTTCCAACGTCTCGAGAACTTCTTGCATGGAGGGGCGTTTTCTGGGATCTGTTTCCAGGCATTTGAGAGTAAGATCTCCCAAGAGCACGGCTGCTTTCAATGGATATTGACCGTCTATGCTTCTATCCATTAAACTTTTGATCTTTTTTCTCTTCATCAAGAGTGGCTTAGCCCAGTCGACTAGATTGCGCTGTTCGCTGCACCTAGTCGCATCGTGTGCTCGCAAGCCCGCCATAATTTCTAGCAGCACCACGCCGAACCCATAAACGTCGCTCTTCACGTACAAATGACCTGTGTAAGATCAGTAATGGCAAAGAATGTTGGTAGTAGTTTAGCAATGAAGATGACTATGTTGACACAATAAGAACATTTCCTATGTCATTGTTTTTCACAAAGCACTCGTTCCTCTCTCCAATCAAACCGAACAAAGCACTCTTGTGTTCAAACTCCTCAAATGTCATTCTACTTACACTAAAGTGACGATGAGATTAAATTTAAGGTGTTAAAAGTATTGATATAAGACTAAGCTTACATAACTCATCCACCTAAGCTTGGTTTAAGATATTCGACTCGATAATGACAGATATTATCACCTGTATTCATGTATTCGGGAGCGACATAACCGTATGTGCCCATAATTCTTGTAGTTACGTGTGATGCTTCACCTGCAGGCCCCAATCTTGCCAAGCCGAAGTCTGAGATTTTTGCATTGTAACTCTGCAGGTGAAGATATAAAAGGGAAATTTAGATAGAATGGTAAAAGAAAGATGAAATGAGACACGAAAACAGGACGGACCGAGAAGTTTAACCGTGTTATCTTTATCCATGAGTATATAAAGATATGTAATGATGAACATGTCTCAGTACTTTCCAAAAGATTTATGATAATGAGCAGGTAAGATGTAACATTTGTTACCCAAGCCAACCACTAACAGATATTGTCCATTTTGGCCCATTACGTATCACCGTCAGCCTTATGATCTATAAAACTCGTCTCCTATGGAAAGGTTTCCACAACAAGTGCCAACGAGAACGTTGGGCCCCAAAAGGGGGTTGGAGTGTTAGATCCTATATTGGTTGGAGAGGGGAACAAAGAACCTCTCTATAGTCGAGGCGTTTTAAAAACCTTGAGGAGGAAGTCCGAAAGAAAAAACCCAAAGAGAACAATATCTGCTAGCGGTGGGCTTGGGGTGTTACACGTGAGATCTCACAATCCACCCCCCCTTAGGGGCCCAACGTTATCGCTGGCACACCACTTGGTGTCTAGCTCTGATACTATTTATAATAGCCTAAACCCACCGCTAACAGATATTGTCCGCTTTGGCCCATTACGTATCGCCGTCAACCTCACAGTTTTAAAACACGTCTAGTATGGAGAGGTTTTCACACCCTTATAAGGAATATTTCATTCCACTCTCCAACCGATGTGGGCTCTCACAATTGGATAATGCAAAATGACCGGTTAATTCCAGTCTCAGCTTGTTATGAACCTTTTTTACTGAATGGAACAGAGAAGCAGAGACATTCTATAAATATTGCAATTAGCTAAAAGAAGACTGCAAAGAATGGGACAAACCATATCTAGAAGTATATTTGATGCTTTAAAATCTCTGTATATAACTTCTCTTTCAGAGGCATGCAAGAAAGCCAAACCCTTAGCTGCTCCAATTGCGATCTTGATCCTTATTTCCCAAGAAAGAGGATCAATGGAAGAACGCCCTGATCATCACAGAAACCAAAGATTAGCACAGATAACTATGAATGATCATCTCTTAACCTTCATTTAAGGATATCATACTTCCAAAGAGATGGTTTTCCAAGCTTCCCCTGGGCAAGAATTCATATACAAGAAGCAAGTCTTTCTCCTCCCAGCAAAATCCCAATAATTTCACAAGATTTGGATGATTCAGTCGTCCTAAAAAGTTCACTTCTGCCTGCATACGAGCAGTAAGACGATATTAGACCTTGCAAAGTGAACTCTCATTGAAAAGATACATTTGCAGAACGATATAAATCCGACAGCAGAAACACGTAACCATACATGTCGGGAGAGTACAAATTTCTAATTTAAACAGTGTGTCAACAAGGTAAGCAAATAGCTCACCGCCAAATATTATCCTTTTTGGATTTCCCTTTCGGGCTTCCACTTAAGGTTTTTAAAACAAAGATTTCCACGCCCTTATAAAGAATGTTTATTCTCCTCCCCAACCGATGTGGGATCTCACAATCCACCTCCTTTCAGAGCCTAGCGTCCTTGCTGACTCTTATATCATTTGTAAGAGCCCAAGCTCACCTCTAGTAGATATTGTCTTTTTTGGGCTTTCCCTCTTGTGTTTCCCCTCAAGGTTTTTAAAATGCGTCTGCTAGGGAGAGGTTTCCACACTCTTACACATAATGCTTCGTTCTCCTCCCCAACAACCGACATGGGATCTCACAATTAGAAAGTTTAAGTAATAAATGACTCAAGAACGACATAACAGAGGCTACATTTTTTGACAAACATAACTTAACCTTGAGCGCCAGGTACTTCATAAAGGCATCTAATCGTTCATGATTATTTCCAGACATAAAAAATGTCAAACAAGCAATGAATATGGCATGAAGAACAGAGAACATCAATCATTCTTTGCAGTAATTAGGCTAATACTAGATTTGCAAATGGTTCATAGTTCTGTTGAAAACAGGGAGTACTAATAATGGCAATCTACATGATCAATAGCTAGCAGCTGCATATAAAGCAAGAAGGATCGAAACAATATTCAAAACAGTAATGGATGAATCTTCTCTAAAAGGAAATCCATGAATGATCTAAATTTTTTACCTGCCACTCCTGAAAACCTTGGACACTTTCTGGATTTAATTTCTTAATGGCAACCATCATTCCAGAATTGCTCTTACTAGGAGCCAGTGTTTTCTCATCTAGACAGCCCTTATACACCTTCCCAAACCCTCCCCGACCGAGCAAGGATTCAGGTCTGAAGTTTTTGGTAGCGAGTTTCATCTCGCTGAAACTGAACTCCTTCAAGTTTGGATGGTCAAGGATCTGCCCATTCAGAGAGGGCTCGCTCACATCCACGCTCGCCGCCTCCGAAAACTGACTTACGCCGGCGGTGCTACTGGTACTACCTGAAAACCCTACGTTTCTGCTGTAATTGCTCGATGTTCCTAAGAAATGGCACAACAGGATACAATCAAATCAAAGGCAGAAACACGAAGAACAGAAAATGAAGCAGAAAATCGTTAGAAAATGGCACCTGGAGTAGAAGATAGCGTCCGGCTACGAATGGAACTAGAATGACAAGGTGAAGAAGCTAAACAGTTTCCCATAATCAACAGATTTAGTCGTTCAACAAGTATCGTATAGCAAATCGAAGAAGAAGAAGAAGAGAGTGAACTCAAGAACAAAATCAGAGAAAAATCCGCGAAAAGGTAGCGGGAAAGAGAAAGAAAAGGCGCTAAATGTCGTCGCTTATCATTAGATTGCGCACTCTTGAATTTATGGAGCTTGAAATTTCGCGTCAATGGAATCAATAACAGGAAATTCCACTTCCTTGATCGCCGGCAGTGGGTGCGAAAAAGAAAATTCGTGTCGATCTTGTAATCTGTTATTACGGCTCCATCAAATTATGGGGTCCAAATCTTCTCTCCCGAATCTCGTTTGAATGGGAGTGTTACCGATCAATTCATAAGTAATTTTTGTTAGTTGAAATCTGGTTTCAATCTTTTAAAAAGGAAACAATTATTGAGAAATATCGACAAATTCCACCAATGAAAATTTGTGAACACAAGTTCATAAAATAATAAATTAAAATGAAATTTATGAACACAAAGCAAACATCAGATAGCTGTCTGTGTACCTTGACTGACCATCCTAATTTTTAAATTTTTATGCAACTTCGCCAAACTTTCCTTTTTAAAATTTTAATTATATCTTTAAATTTAAAAACAAAATACACTTTCAATATTTTATTAATACCCAAAATTTTAAAATAATTTCAAAAATACCATTAAATATTTTTAAATATATTTTTTTAAGACAAAATATAAAGTTTACGAGTATTTTATTAATTTAATTTAATTTTTTTTACAAAAATTTAAAACTTATGTACTTATGATTAGAGAAAGTTAGAATTTCGTCCCCAATGTTTGTTATGATGTCAAATATTCAGTATTATTGTAATAAACGTGTTATGTTGTTATTTGGTTAACATTTTTAATGATTATCTGTGTGCTCGAGTAAACTATCTATAATGAGACGATGAATTGGAGATAAATTACAATGAATATTTAGCATGGTACAATATGATAGAATTAGGCACGGGTAAATTTAAATTGAGTTGTTTCGAACGTGTGGGTCTTTCTATTATTCATATATGTGATTATATTTTGAGTTCGGTTTTCATTTATTATTATGCAAAATTTTCAAACTTGATGAGTTTCACGAGAACTTCGTACAAATTAGAAAGAAGCTAACTCATAATCTTGAACTTTTTTTTTCCTCTTATTAGATAATGACATTTTTTGTTCGGTTTTGAAATATAAATATTTTAGCAAACGAGAATTTATGAAAACATTCTTCAAATTTTTTTTTTTTTTGGTATGTGAATTTGACAAGATGAGGAGAAATGAGTATTTATAAATTAATAATAAGGAAATAATAAAACTAAAAGAGGAATATAAGTAGGAATTTCAAAATTTATATTTTATTTTATTTATTGAAAAATAAAAACAAATAAATTTATATTTTATTTTATTTATTGAAAAATAAAAACAAATAAAAGCATGAAGAGGAGAAAAATGTAGATTTTTCTTTCTTGTTCATTTCATTAATAGAAATTTCAAACTTTTCCATTTCCTCTGAATTTCCCGTTTGACTTTGAAGACTTATTTTCCATTCGCTCCTTAAACAAATTTCTTATATTTTTTCTCTGCTACTTAACTCATATTTCATTCATTTCTATTTTTATTTTTCTTTTTATTAAATCACAAAAAAAAAACAAATTTGTGGTCAACTTATAAGTTCAGCTCTCTGGTGTGAAAACTTCTCGGTATCAACCACGTTGCTCTTTGGTACATAAACTTCTACCACGTTTCTCTTTGGTACATAAACTTCTACCACGTTGCTCTTTGGTATATAAACTTCTCCGTTGCTCTCTGGTATATAAACTTCTCCGTTGTTCTCTGGTATATAAACTTCTCCGTTGCTCTCTGGTATATAAACTTCTCCGTAACAACCACGTTTTATCTCCGTACAACCACGTTTTAAAATCGAGGTTCACTACTCTCTGGTGTAAAAACTTCTCCGTAACAACCACGTTTTTTAAAATCGAGGTTCACCATTGTTACAAAAGCCTAATAAAATCTATAATTTTCGTCTAAAGGAGATTAATGAGTTTATAAGTTTTAAATTTTGTTTATGATAAAATCTTAATCTATTTTTACCAAATTCTTCTGCCTTTATTCCCATTCATTTTTTGTTTGTATTGCATTTCCCTTTGATTTAACGAAATTTCTATAGATATATTTATGCATTCCCTTTTTTACATTTTCCAATAACATTTTCAAAAGCGGTAAGCGATTGAGATTTCCAAAAGTTGTTTAAAATTGGTAAGTATGTTAATAAATGGAAATTTCATAATTACTTTATTTTCATATAACCAAAAACCATTGTCCTCCTATGGCAGTTTACAACATTGACATTACCAACTTTGGTAAAGGAAGTTTGAACTTTTAGCATACCAAGAAAATGTATCATCACATTATAAACTAGTCTAAGAAATATTTCCCGAGAAACAAAACCAGTTACAAAAAATACTCACAAGAAACGGAAAACAAAATCGTTATCAAACGGGATCCTACATATTCAATATTTTCATCCCGAAAAGATACAAATGCAAACAAACCACCCCTTACTCTGTGCATATGCAACCAAGCTATATATCGAATATCGTAATTCTATGAAGTAACGAAAAAACATGTAAACGATACCTAAGAGCAAGAGTCAACCAAAAAAAAGAATGAATGGAATATATGGGAGAGAAAAAAAGGGGAAAAAACGACAATGATGAAGCTCATTTGAACATAAAAAGAAAAAGTGGTGGGGGCTGTATAAACTTCTCCAGCCTCCCTGTGCATTGAAATTTAGGAAAACATCGCGCTTGCCAAATAATTTACAGAGCATGTGATCATCAACATCACATTTTACCTTCAATTACTTTTTTAATTGGCGACTCGACATACAAATTTGCTAACCCTTGTCGATAGTATCAACCAAGGTATGATTCCAACCTGCAGTTCATCATTGAGAAGAGCTAAGAATCATCATATGCTCATATATTCTCATTACGTGCAGACGTGATTGTGGCTAGCCGATAGAACCTAGATATATAGAAAGAAAAAAGATAACGGAATTACAATATAACTCCCCAAGTATTTGAGGTAGTTGGAGCGTTCAACCTCGAGCATACTAACTTAAGCATAAATCCTCCCTCGAGCATACTAACTTAAGCATAAATCCTCCCTCGAGCATACTAACTTAAGCATAAATCCTCCCTCGAGCATACTAAATTAAGCCTAAATTCTACTAAACGACTGCCTACCTAACCATTCTCACTCACTCTCTTTGTAACAAACCCTCAAAACAACTCCTTTAGCTAAGTGCTACTATGTACTTAAGACCCTAATCACATTACTAATTCTATCCTAAAACCATTTCCTTCATAAACCAGATATGGTAACCATATAAACATCTTGTTCCGAAAGAGAGAAGGGGGGGGGGGGGGG